AATGTGTAATGTGTTAGGATCATGGCTACCCTGGTGAGGTGTGGGGGTGATTGTGACTGGAAGGGAGGCTGTTAGGGGGGGTTCAGTTCGGTTCTGTTGTTTCTTCATCTGGGTACTGAGTTGACTTGATGAAAATTAAGCTGTAAATTTCCAATTTGTGCACTTCTCTGAATGTATGTTATACTTTAATTTTTTTGTGAAAACATTAACATCAACAACATTAAAACTTATTTGTTGAGGTGCTTTCTGAGGTAGGTTGGGTAGTCTTGAATAACTTCATTTTTGATACTTCATATTATAACTACAGATCAGATATTCCAAATTAAAACTATATTAAAATTATCTGGGGAGTTCTAAGAGGCAAAGGTAAAGCTAAGATGAGGTGATGGGCCTGGTCTTCCCCAGGTGCAAGCAAAAAGGAGTTTAGAATTTAGAAACAATGGCAAAACTATCTAAAAATCAATTTCCTTTTTATTATCACTATGTGCCTACGGTTCTAAACAAAAGATCTGTTGTTGGCCTAAGTCCTAAATAATTGGCAGCATTAGTGTTGAATTTTTATTTCATATATACATGTTTACAACATATATATGCTTCTAATTAGCACACATATTAATTATCCATTACATTACCTCTTTAGTAACACATGTGGACTCAGCCTAGTATTCATTTCCAGAGTAAGTTCTTAATATAGTTTGGAATTGTTTGAACTTGGTTCAGGTGCAGGTTGAATGTGTTCCCTCTTCCGGTGGTTAAACAGATTTGTAAATGAGCAACAGTAGCGTAGTGATTGTGAAGAAGAGGAAACAAGTTACTTCAATTCTGTCATTCTCCATTTCTGCTTTTGGAGTTTTTGTGTTTAAAATTTTAAACAGCTGAAATTGAATGTTGATGTTCTTGAAAATAATTTTGTCACATAAAGGAAGGGAGTCTTAAAAAGCATCCACTCTATACTACTCAGCTTTAAGAATCAATGGTGATATAGCACCTCTTGTATATTCCTGGATACAGCTGGAACCCATTCTACTAAGGGAAGTATCTCAAGAATGGAAAAACCAGCACCACATGTACTCACCAGCAAATTGGTATTAACGGATCAACACCTAAGGGACACCTAAGTGGACATATAGGAGTAACATTTATTGGGTGTCGGGAGGGTGGGAAGGGGGAGGAGGGGATGGGTATATACAACCAAACGAATAAGATATGCAACGTTTGGGGGATGGACATTCTTGAAGCTCTTACTCGAGGGGGAAGGGGGGCATGGGCAATGTATGTAACCTTAACACTTGTACCCCCATAATACGCTAAAATAAAAGAAAAAAATTATCCACTCTAGCTGTCAAATCTGCTAGGTGTGTCCCTGCTACAGGGCAGCTGCTTTCACCAGTATGGCTTAAATGTGGAACCCCATGTACATGGAAACATGATTGTTGTGAACATTTTCAGCGGTTTTGCTAACATCAAATCATGGTGAATACCACACTTATCTTGTTGGTGTTTTAAAATTGTATATATTGACAGGTTATTTTGTAAAATTTAAGTTAGTTGATATTGACAGTTTTTTTTTAAACAACATAACTCTATTTACTCTCTAATTAATTGCCTCCCTGCCAGTTGCTAATTTCCCTGTGTCCCATCCCGCACTCCACTCTGTACACCAAAAACACGAGACTGCTTTTTTTTTTTTCTTTTAGAGCTGGGGTCTTGTTATGTTGCCCAGGTTGGTCTCGAACTCCTGGTCTCAAGCAGTCCTTTAGTCTCAGCCTCCAAGTAGCTGGGACTACAGGCATGTGCCACCATGCTTGACTTTTCATGCTGCTTTTGAGTATTCACCAGTCTTTTAAAACAACTTGATTACATACTAATAACTAGTTATTAGCAATAATAACTAGTAATACAAATAACCAGTTTGTTTGAGTTACAATATTCGCTCACAGTTTGTTCATAGCATGTGACTCCTCTTTTCCAAATCTGGAAATTTTTTAAAGTTAAAAATAATTTCTACTGCACTTTTTCTGCTTAACATAAACTTCTTATTGCAATTTGTTGAGAAACTTCCTAAATATTCACCAGTAGAGCATGTATTAAATTATGGCACATGTGTGCAGTGGAATAGTATGCGGCCACTAGAAAGTGTGGCTGTACATTATTTTAAATGGTTGTTCTTTATTATACTAATATTCTATATCAGTCCTATGAGT